TACGACTGTTGGGTTTGCGGTAGGAGGTTTATTAGACAGAGACGGTGAACTAGCTACCGATTTGTCGAGTTCCTCAGAATCTTTCTTTGATTCAGGAGATTCCTCAGAATCTTTCCTTGATTTAGGAGATTCTTCATTGTCCCCCTCCTTTATCGGGGGGGCTGTATCAGTCTCCACGGAGACAGTCTCTTTTTCTGGAGACCGGGGTGTCTTAAAGGACCTTTCAAATACCGTACTGCTAAGGGGTGGTTCGAAAGGTACCTCCTCCTCTAGTTTTAATCTTAGGTGTTTTTCTTTAGCACGTCTCGTTAGAGGCATAGAGATGTAACAGTTATATATTAATTTATAGATGCATTTTAGTTTTTTAAGATAAATAATATAAATAAGTATAAGTGTACATAGAAATAAGAATTATTGTAAAATATTCATTTAAAAATAAATAAAGAATAAATAATATAAAACACACCAATATTTATTTATTTGTTAAAAAGAAAATGTAAATGTTTAAAAATGTTGAAAATATTTTTGAATTTTATGGTTCATTTCTCTTTATGTATTGGAAAAAATTCTAAAATGAGAAAAAAACGTTTTTTATTTATTTTTTTTTTGTAATGTTATTAAATACGCAAAAAAATTACCAAAAAATTACCAAAAAAAAAAAAAAAATTATCGAAAAAATTATCAAAAAATTATCAAAAAATTACCAAAAAAATGACAATATATTAAAATTAACTAATTTTTTCCTCCACACTTCGAGTTTTAGCTTTCTTATCCCAAGCGTGACGGCTATTAGGGTCAAGCTTAGGTTAAATAATCGTTTAAATTGGTTACCTTAATTTTTTGTAGTCAAATAAATTAATTTATATGAAAAAAATGAAATGTAAAAAAATTAAAAATTAAAATAATTATTAAAATTTTTCTGAAGCTTCTTAGATTCTATTATGCTCTTAAAAAAAAAATTAAGGTAAGAAGGACATTAGCCAAAATGCGTTTAATCTCTTATACATGGATTTTTGAAGTAAGAAAAAAATTACTTATCCTTATATGTAAGACAAAAAAATTATATTCTATTCTGTAACGTTTTAAATGATCTACTAAATATACTTAAAATACCAGGATTTTAACTTAAAATCAATGGCGCCTCCACCATGTCACGCTTAACGGTTAGGGGGTGATAATTATTCTTTTTAATGTGATTAGGGGTCCTCGCTTGGCTTGAGAGGTAAAAATAGATAATCACCCACTTCCGCTAAGCGCGCTCTAGCCGATGTTAATCTCAAAAGGCTCAGATTAACTTCTTGGTTTAGAAGGAATCTGCGCCACTTAAGATGAACCTCGGGTGACTTAAATTACTGTATAGAGAACTAAACTAGTTATAATAGAAACACCATGTATAAAAAATCAACAAACACTTTATTAAATATCGTAATCAAAAGACGCAAAAGATATAATAAAGAATCGATATAATAATTTATTTATTTATTTATTTATTTATTTATTTGTTACACCACCCAACAGTAATCACCATTTACTGGGTGGGAAAGACAAGAAAACATTAAAATATAAATACAAATACAAAATTGTTAAAAAGCTATACAATACAATGTAAACATCCAGAAAAAAACTGACCGAACACAGGATAAAAAAAATGGTTGTCTACATTGCATTACATGCTGTACATCATTTTTTTACATTTACAAAGAAAAAACATTTTTAATCATATGTTTTTTACATGCAAAAATGTCCAAGCTGTCTTGAATTTCATGATATTTCTGAATAGATTGGTACATTGGAGATGAGTTTAAAACATTAGTTCTAGAAGCAGGCATGTAGAAACTCAAGTAAACTCTTAATCCTGCACGGGGGATTTTTAGATTGACGTAATTTAACAAATCAATACTGTCGACTGAGCCATTTAAAAGATTATAAAGTAGGAGTACCTGTTGGAAATTTCTGCGTATCACGAGCTCTGAAAGATTGAATCTAGATATTAGTAAAGCGTGGGGATATCCCCTTGCAGGGTATATACCATCTAATACATAGGAAGCCGATTTCATGAATTTTCTTTGAACTTTTTCGAGTAAATCAGTATAAATGTTATGCACGGGATTCCAAACAACAGAACAGTATTCAAGTTTTGACCGTACAAAGCTAATATATAAAGTTTTTAAGGTGACTAATATTAAAATTTGGGGTCCTTACCTCATTGTCCTGGAGCAGTCACAATTTTTATTTTTTACTTTATTTTATTTTCAGAAATATTTATAAGTATTTATTTTATGCTTTATATTTTATTAACCACAATTATTTTTCTGTAATCGATGACGACCACCCTTTTTGCCGTCTCGCAAAACCCTCCATGACCCCCTAAAATAATCCGACTAGGTTCGATTTCGCAAGACTTCCAAAATCGTCGAGTCAGCACAAAGTTCATTAGTTTTTAACTTAATTGTTATGAAACTATGAAATGCATTCTCTACGATTTAAAAGTATTTCGAAATCGACCTACTATTCAGAAATAATTTAACATACAGGATGTTAAATTATTTACTGAGCCGAATGAAAATAAATTAATTCCATTTAAGGAATAATTGTGACAATATGAATACTTATTTCAGAAAACCTACATATTTTGGTAACTTTATATTAAAGTTTCTAGAAAATAGGTCATTAAGAAGACTTTTTTTTTGCCAACAGTACTGCTTCAAACTTACGAAACAAAAATAAAACATTACAGGCACAATTAAGATGAGTGAAAAAGTATGTGCAATATTTAAAAAAAAATTGTGCAGAATTGCCGATTTGAAAGTAAAAAATATGTTATTTGTTTTTGGGCGCATACTGTATATTTGTACATGGTCTAAAATGTAAACTATCATCAGTAATATAAGAATATTTAGGGCCGATTTCACCATTGTGTTAAACGTAGTTTAAGTTATTAAACAAAGAATAAAATGAAATTGTAAATATAAAAATGTCATTTTAATCTTCGTTAAGTAATTTAAACCTCGTTTAACATAATGGTGGAATCTGCCCTTAGTTACCTAATTTAAATAAATAAACTAGATAATTTATATTTTAAAGTCATTACAAAAGTAATTAAAATTCTTATATATTTTTTTAATATCCTGAAATACTTATGCTAAATGGTAAATATATATTGGTTTGTTTTATTCTTATTAGGTATATATTGCAACCGAAAGACGTGCTATTCAGTGGTATAAGGACGGTTCCAAAACCATAGAAGGAACTGAAATAGGAGTATATGGGCCGAGAACCAAGCACTCCGAAAGCTTGGGAAGATACCCAAGCATCTTCCAGGCGGAAATTCACGCCATCGAGAAGTGTATCCAGTTTAACATCGAGAGAAACTATCATAGACAAGAGATTATCATCAGGTTCGATAGTCAAGCAGCCATCAAAGCGCAGAGCTCTTACGTAATCAGCTCAAAAATGGTCTGGAGATGCCTAAAACAATTGAATGAGCTAGGCGAGAAAAATAGAGTTACTCTCACTTGGGTCCCGGGACATAACGGGGTATAGGATAACGAGATTGCAGATAGTCTGGCAAGGAAAGGGGCTCAAACACCTTCTGTAGGACCTGAGCCGTTCTGCGGTATCAGCAGTAACATAATATTAGGAGAGATTAAAAAGGAATTGGGCAGTAGAAGAACCGATAATTGGAACAATCTCTTGGGGCTGAGACAGGCCAAGATACTTCTGGGTGAATATAACCAGAAAAGATCGGAAGCCCCTGCATCTGCCTGAGCAAGAACAGGCTACGTATTGTAACAGGGATCCTTACCGGGCATTACCGACTAAAAGGAAACCTAAGTAAACTGAGTAGTAGAGGATAGTGAGTGCAGATTATGTGAGGAGGACGACGAAACCTCCATTCACATCCTAACTGAGTGTGTAGCACTCCAGAATCCAAGGGCACTATATCTAGGAGGATATCAAATGGAAGAGGGAGATTTACCTAACTTGAAGCCACTTCAAATCCTACACTTCCTTGAGAAAATAGGACTGGAAGGGTCGCTATAGGCATTGAGACAATTCCTTGGTGCAGTGGCGACAGAAGGGACACAATAGATATTTTAGGTCGCAGTGTATTAACACCCCATTCTCAACATAACATAACATCTATATTAAATTATATTTAATTTTTTTAAAAATATCCTTTATTATTTACTTCCAATGTTTACCTCATTTAATTCCAAAATTAAACACTAACGCGTCGGCAGTAGTGATGTCTCTATATTTCACGCACGTTCCTTATCCAAGTTACGTATCAATGATTTATGTGAAATATCAATGTGAATTTTGTTAAAAAGGTGATGAAAAATGGACAAAAGTCGTTTTGGTAGATGAAATATACATTGTATTAAATGCAGAATCCACTTAATCTTACGGAAACAAATCAACTCCATTTATAATAGTTCTGTTTATATTTATAAATAATCTTTCCAAATACCACGGGAGGTGAGTTTTTCTTAAAGAACATTTTGATGTTTCCTTACAAATTATACAAACATAATAAAATGTTTTCATACTATTAGGTTTGTTATACTGGGAAAAGCGAGTGCAATTCAAAGACTGGGTGACCCTGTATAATTGAAATTATTTTTAAATTGTTGCCTTTTTTTAGATACACCTTACTGTGCAAATAGATTTTAAAAAAATTAAATAGTTTTGGCTTTGCAGACCGAGGCCCACCTTGTATAACTTTTTCTTATAATATATTTCTTACATCTGTCAAATGTGCTGCACACAGCCCCACGAATTTTAACCAATGTATGGCTTTATGATTGGTGAATCCTCCCAAGCATAACATTTGTATGAGCGTATTATGCGCTAAGCAGGCGCCTGTCCATCTGTCCCATAGGATCTTGAAATGAATGAATCTACAATAAGATATTTGATGAAGAAGCGCTTTCAACCATCCTGGAGTTATGCCTAAATAGTCGCGTGGTATTGGATATTCTAGACGTGGTTTGACAGGTGCTGGTATGTTTAGTGACAAGCAGCGGAAGTATGCAGTTGACCATCTGAAAAACAAAAACTTATTGAAGGAGGCCCTAATAATTTTTTTTAGTTAAAAGAATTAGTAGTGATTGTCAAAGTGGCCGTACTTGCAAGCGTTCCACGTCAGTGAAAAATATTTGCTTTTAATTGATTTTGAAGGGGAAAGGTTTAGGTTAAGAATTTGGTTGGTTAGTCGATTTTAAATTGACTATCCAAATTTAATTACATTTGGATGGTTCAAAGTTTAGATTAGTACTAACTAGTTAGATGGTTAATTTTAGATTAGGACTATCCAAATATAATTGATTTAAATATTAAAAAAATTAGATTAGTAAATTATTTTTTGAATTATCTATTTAATTTAATTGAGATTAGGGTTTTTAATGGATTTTGAATGGTAAAAGAATAGTAACTTAATTAGATGGTTAATGTTATATCCAACTATCTAAATTTAATTAATTGGAATATTTTAATTAAATTTTGAATGGTCTAAATTTAATTAATTGGAATATTTTAATTAAATTTTGAATGGTAATGAATTTGGGTGAGTAAGTTAGTTGATTTTATTTGTGATTGGTGATTTCAATTAAATTTAGATGTGGAAAAGTTTAATTTAGTAAGTTAGATGGTGAATTTTAGATTAGGACTATCCAAATTTAATTGACTAATTAACGCTATAATACAGTCATGTTAGTTACAGAACAATGACCTGCCGACTCAACACATTCCACACGGTCATAGGTCAACGTTCACTAATGTCAGCATTTATTTTTAATATTATTTTTCAGTCTGATATATATTTTACTTTGTAATTATAATATAAAAATTATTTAAGTTATTTTCAAAAATTAAATTATTAGTTTTTAAAAAGTGAGTTTGAAAGTCAAAACTCGTTATTTATTAGTCATCTTTTATTCCAAAAGAGACACCAATCCACACAAACTGTATCTAAAAACACTGCATGCTGCAGTGTTTTGACTCAATACTGATTGGATTTAAAAAATTAATTTTATTACCAGAGTAACGCATCAAATATTTATGAGGAACGTCAATTTGAAGATTGCTAAAAAGGTTGGATTTAAAAAATTCAATTCATTACCAGAATAACACATCAATAATTTATACGAAATGTCAATGTGAAGTTTGTCATAAAGGTGACGAAAAATGGACAAAATCATTTTATTTATTTAATTATACATTTTATATACATAACTGTATTGGAAACAAAGCAAATATTGTTTATAAAAGTTATATAATCTTTTCAAATACCACCCAAAATAAGAATTTTTTAAGAACATTTTTTTGTTTTTTATAAAATATGCAAATTTATTTCTGCAAAATCCTCCTGAAATACCACTAGACTGACGTCTCGTGGAGGATTTTTTTTTTTCGTGAAATTCTAACGCATAATTTCCAAAGAAACAATAAAATGTTCTCAAAAAATTCTCACTTCTTCTAGTATTACTTCTGATAATATAAGAGATAGAATTCGCGTAGGTTGCCAAACAATAACCAGAGAATTGATAAATTCGTCATACAATAGAGCGGATATAATTTAAAAATAGTTTTTCCCCATCACTGATCTCTACTTAGTAGTTTTATATATATCATATTATTTTTATATATTTATGGATTTCTTCTAGTGGTAGGACATTTAATTAATTTTTTTTACTCCTATACTATAAGTTGTTAATTAAATGCTAATTTTCAGTTTCATAATGATATATACTCATTATAACACTGGTTTTCATTAGGAAACTGAAAATATTATTCATTCAACGGACTCATCCAGTGATTTTTAAAAATATTTTTATCATATAATTTTGGCCCGCTATAACACAGTTGACCGGGTCCAACCTCTCTGCGACCTACCCTGTGGCTACAATTAAATGTTTAAAGGACCCCGCAATAATCTTATGGAAATTGGGTTTCTGTCAAATTGTCTGAATTTTTGATATGTTGTAGATTTTGTCATCCTGAACAAAAGTCTCTATGGGCACAAAAAGCTAAAATGAATATTTTGGCAGCTACGGAGCTGCCAAAGCTCCCCTGACCCGTTGCAAAACTATTCATTTTCAATACTATTTACAGATGTCAAAAGCATATTTTAATTATTCTAATATATAGGGTAACGTTTTTGAGGTCACTGGATTCAACTCTCATGTCAGATTGGACAAATTGACCGTTGACAGCTGTCAATTCACGGTCAACGAGGAATATAAAAGTAAATATCCTCTTTTCACATTGAGAGTTTGTGTTTTTGAGGTCGTTGACAGTTGACAGCTATCAACTGTCAATTTATACAATCTGACATTAAATTGAATTCAGCGGCCTCAAAAACCCAAACTCTTAATGTGAAAAGAGGATATTTACTTTTATATTCCTCGTTGACAGTCAATTGACAGCTGTCAATTTGTCCAATCTGACATAAGAATTGAATTTAGCGACCTCAAAAACCCAAACTCTCAATGTGAAAAGAGGATATTCTTTTATATTCCTCGTTTACAGTGAATTGACAGCTGTCAACGGTCAATTTGTCCAATCTGACAAGAGGGTTGAATCCAGTGACCTCAAAAACATTACCCTATATATTAGAATAAATAAAATATGTTTCTGACATCTGTAAATAGTATTGAAAATGAATAGTTTTGCAACGGATCAGGGGAGCTTTGGCAGCTCCGTAGCTGCCAAAATATTCATTTTAGCTTTTTTATTGCGGGGTCCTTTGAATTTCGGGGCTAAGGTGAATTGTGACGTGTACCAATGGAAACAGGCTCTATTTTGCAATGTTGCCATATCGATAAAACTAGCAATATTCTTTGTCATTTATTATGTTTAAAAGAAGGATAGAAGTACCGATAGACGGACCAACGATAGCTGAGATATACGCTAAGGCCCTTCGGGCTTTACCACTACGCATGATTTTTCTATTCGACGGTAAACGAAATTTAATCCCCCACTCCCCCCACTACCCCGTTTTTCCCTCAGACCGTCTGTCTCACTCTTATCCATTGAATATGTACCTCTCACTCTTACACATTGAATTCCCTATGTGTCACAGAATCTGTATAGTCTATCTAATATGGCCATATAGAGGTGGACTTTGTTTTTTAAATAGGAATCCCATTTTTTATTTACATATTCTTAAAGTACATAAAAAATAAGAAACTTTTGATGGAAATATTTTTTTTATTGGACTTTTACGTTTTGAGTAACAGCTACTTGAAAATTTTGCTGGGCGAAAAAAAAGTTGGCCATATTATGGTTAGCTATAAAAAACGATTTTAACCAAAATTTTTTCCCCACAAAAGTGTAAAACTTTCGTCTGAAACGTTTTTTTTTATAAAAGGCGGTATTTAGCTGTAACACTTATTTTTTTAATTGAAGAAACGGACCTTAGTTTCGGGATATGTTTCAATTTTTTTGAATTATGAATGGTTAATTTACCATCAAATTTTATTTGCAAATATTTGCTTATAGGATTTTCGTTCAAATATTTACAAAGTGTCATTATCGTAACTTAAAAAATTAGTTTTTTTATATAAATTTTACCACCTCTTGGGCCAAAAACTTTTTATATAGGGTGTATCATGTAACAGGGACCATTACCAACTTTCCTGTTTTAAATGCAACACCCTGTATATTTTTCAATTTTTGGATTATTCAGAAAATTCTATACAAATTTTATGTAGGTACTATACATAATAATTTCGGAAATATTTAAACCCAGCTGACTTAAGAAGACGAATAACGCTTGCGATCAGTCACTCCTGAGAAGTTGAGCGAAATATACAGGTTGTTGCATTTAAAATAAGAAAGTTGGTATTGGCCACTGTTACATAATACCCTGTATAAGAAATTTTTGTTAAAAAAATGCGCAACTAAAAATACCAATCGACGAGTCCGAACTCTTTTCCGAACACACCCCCATTTATTTATTACCAAATTTATTCCATTTGGCTGTTCCACACTGTATATGTTTTTTAGTGTTGGTTTAAAATTTCAAATGTAAAACAAAATGTGAATTAATTTTTTTTTTTTTAGAAATTTCGGTAGTCCCGGAATTTCTTTGAAAGTTCCGGAATTCCTTTGAAAGTTCCGGATGCCCTTCGGAATTCCTGTGTACACAATTTTTAAGAAAAATGCTTCCTCAAAAAAAAAACCTAGTCCTAGTCCTGGTTGTAAACATAAATATTACGCATGATTGGTTTCCATGGAAACAAATAATAACATATGCGCATTGAAATACGACTCCGAAAATAATATTTTTCAAATGTTGCATAAATTATTTAAATGCAAAGAATGTTTACTGCAAATTATTAGTTGCTTTTAATCGTCAACAATAAAATTTAAAGGTATAACTTACCTGAATTTGCTCCTGTAATTATAACTGTTTTTCCAACTAAACATACTTTACTTTTACAATATTTCGTAAGAAACAATTTTATATAAATTTTAAATGAAACCGCGAGCACTAATACAGATGAAACGAAATAAAAAATAAAATTCATGTTGGCGACGAAACTATTACTAACACTGAATGATCCGATGTAAAACTGACTGCCGGGCCACGTTGGGATTGTGATGCACACTTGATACATGATTGTGACAATAGTGGTGGAGTCGGTTAT